GGCAGGTGGGCGCTCTGTGGGCCGCCACCCCCACCAGGGCTCGCGAAGTCCAGACTACCCCCTCTTCCACGTCTGGGTTTCCCGGTCTCTTCCTCTGGCCCAACTACACAGCCCGTCTCCCGCGCTGGGGGCGAGCCGTCGAGCGCCTCCGGACCCCGCCGCCTGGCGCTGCGCTCTTTCGCCGCCTACTGCGGGATGCAGCTCTTCACCCTCCCTTCCAGGACAGCGAGGCCGCCTCGGCCGGGGGGACACCGGCGTCCAGGCGCCGCCCCCAGCGAAGGAAACTACCACCTGCAGCTTCCAGGGCCACAAACGAGGGAGGAGTGGAGGAAACTCTCAAGGGTCTCTGAGGCTCTGGCTGCTATGTGGAAGACCCGAAAATGAGTGGGGAAGAGAGGCAAGGTAGTTGTCTGTTCTTGGTGGGAGTTTAAATTCAGCCTAAAGAAGCCATATACATTCATCCGTCCATGCAAATGTGTATTATCACTTGCTATGTGCCAGGCCAAGTTCTAGTCCTTGGAGGTACAAGAGTGAATAAAAGGTGGACTCTGACTTGTCTAGTGTGGCTCTGTTCTCTTTTATGGGGGATTTATTTGCTTTAAAATATACTTGACCCCAGGAGACAGTCTCTACTCTAGGGCATTAGGTATTTCAGTGAACTATTCTGTGGCCTGTGGCCAAGAGAAGACAAAATTAGCTTGGTGGTTTTTCCCTCGTGGGAAAAGTGACGCGTGTGTGACTTCTTACTCTAGACTGTCCCTAAGTCAGAACCGGTCAGAATGGTAAGGGGAACCACTGAAGGAGAATAAATGGAGAAACTGGAGCATAGTAGTTTAAAATGTGAGCTACCATAGGTTATAGATTAATGATAAATGGTAATAGATTAATTTTAAACTTTAGGGTAATTAGCTGGGACTTGGCTACTCACTGTAGGACCTCTAAATGTCATTATCTGCAGATCTTTTCTCTTGGGTCCATTTCTCCAATCAGGGATGTCTTTCTGGCTGCCAAGTGGGTTAAGAGGGTGAATGATGGAGGCCCCATCTCTTAGCATATAGACTTTTACTTAATTCCTCTCTTTTCAATAAGTTGCCTTACCCCTGGTCTATACTGTACCTGTGTTCTTGAGTCCACTGCCTCAAAAATCTGAAAATGTTCATGTCTTTTGATTCAGAAATTAATCCCAAGAAAATGATAAAAAGTGAGGGTCATGATGTTCGTTGCAGTACATTATTATAGCAAAAATGTGAAAGGTAGAAATGTCCAAAATTAATATAACTACCTACATAGATTAAAGTTCATTCATACAATGATCTAATATATATTTATTAAAAGGAAGTTTAAATAAAATGTTTAATGGCATAAGAAAATATTTATGATTTAAACTTTAGTAAATATTCAGGAGACAAAATTGTACATTCAGTTTTTTGTTGCTATGTAAAAATTGGGAAATTGATTGGATGGACATGCACCAAATCTTAAAAGTGATTATATCTGGAAGTAAAATTATGAATTATTTTTTCTTGTACTTTTCCATGTTACATTTTTTATGATAAATATGTATTATTTTTATAATCAGAATGTATTCAATCCATTGTGGGAATGTAAATGTGTGAAAAGAATGATTTATAGTCCCACTAGGGAGGCTGAAGTGGGAGGATACCTTGAGCCCAGAAATTCAAGGCCACCCTAGGCAAGACAGCAAGATCCCCCTCTCTTAGAAACAAAAAAACAAAACAAAAACCAGATTGATTTGAAGAATAGTTGGTGGCAACTGAATTTGTGGATAAAAATTTCCAGTTATTATCTATTTCACATTACCATTCTCAGATATACATCAGTGGTTTTGCTAAATATTTTATCATTTAAGGGTACAAGGGTAGCCTACATTTTAAAAAAGGACCATTACGAATCTTTTATATAGAGAATAGTTATTAAGTAAATCAGATATTTGTTACTTTTTTTAAGCCATAATAATTTATCTTTTGTTTGCAACTACTAGGTAAGTTTTCCTTCTGACTTTAGATTTTGTGAAAAGTCCGTGTTCTCGCTTACAAGTGGGAGCTAAACATGCTGTACTCATGGACATAAAGATGGCAACAATAGACACTGGGGACTACTAGAGGGGGAAAGGAGGGAGAGGAGCAAGGGTTGAAAAACTGTTGGGTACTATGCTCAGTACCTGAGTGGTGGGATCATTCATATCCCAACCCTCAGCATCAGGTAATTTACCCAGGTAACAAACCTGCACATGTACCCACTGAATGTAAAGTGAAAGTTGAAAAAGAAGTCAGTAGTAAACATTAAAAATGTTTTGTGTGAAAAGTTTATGATGTTATAAATTGCTATTCAATTACATGTTCAAAATAAATCTTCATTTACATATGTTTTCTTAAAGTAGGATTTATCTACAGCTACTTCTGGGCAAGAAAATATTCTATACATTCAAATTTATTCTAGACAATGACAACTTATATCTCATAACAGAATAATCCATTTCACATGGAAACTTTTACCACTAAAAGACTCTCACCATGTTTTTATGTTTGTATATTAATTGGATTGTTTCAATCATAAGTTCCTTATAGCAATATAAAGAAAATAAGAGAAAATATTTGCAACATGTATTTTGAGATGAACAACCTGTACAGAGGGAGAGGTTGATGATGCAATAAGAGAAAATATTTGCAGCATGTATTTTGAGTTGAACAACCTGTACAGAGAGAGAGGTTGATGATGCAAAAGAAAAATGAGATCATTAGTACTGCCATGTCCCAGAGTTAGGAGAAAATAGTATCTTAGTGCATAATTGGAGGCCTCACCTTGGACTAGAAGAGGCACACTCCATTGTTATGATTGCCATAATTTTCTGCATTTCATAGTAGAGATTTTTAAATAAAAATTGACAGCTACCAGAGAAATCAGGACAGAGCCATACCTTTTCATTAATTTTAGGTGTCATTATCCTTTCTGACCTTTATCAATAATGGTTTCCATAATGATTTTTAGACTTTTGCCTTGGAGAAATAAATACCTTTTTTAAAAAAAAGAAAAAAAACCACACTAGTTTTCGGCTCATAGAATATTGGTACTATTTTTTAATGCATCATGTATTAACTGATCTCCTCTAATAGATTCTAAGGCTTTTTGAGGTCAAATGATGTCAAGAAGCTTTGGAATCTATTCGATAGTACATCATTTGACCTCAAGCATCCATATATATTGAGTAACTGCATCCTGGATCATGGTTGCTTCTGAAGGTGAAATCCTGGGTCAACTCAGTATTGACTTGAAGTTTGAGAGAGCTGTTTTCACTGGCTTGCTACAGGGTTGTATACCTGACCTAGTTCTATTTAATAGTTTAATCGATGATATTAATGAAAATAGGGAAGGTATGCTTGCCAAAATTGCAGTGAATAAAAAATTGGAAATGTGTTGACTCTTACAAAATTTCTGGAGTCTGGAAAACCTAACTCAAAAAGGAAAAGATATGTGTATGTATTTTTGCACATATTTAAAAAATAATTATGATAGATCAGGAAAGCAAGCAGGCTTAGCAGTCATTCAAGTGTAGAAGATGCAGACAAATTATTGAATTGCAATATAAACAACAGTGTTAAAGTGGCTACCATTGTACACTACTCAAGTGCCATATAAATTTCTGTCTTCTGTGTACCAGATTTTAACAAACACATTGTACCAGAGGAGTGGATTAGGATCCATCAAACTCACCAATCTGTCATAAATCTCCTGATTTTACCTTCTTCTGTGGTCCATCACCCTCTTGGAAATACTTGAGCATTGTTATATGAAAGGTGGTTAGGAAAAAAACTCATTCAGTAGAATTGTCTAAGAATTCTTGACACATCTTTTTTTTCTTTTTTATATACTCAAGGGGTATGTGTGCAGTTTTGTTACATGGATATACTGTGCAGTGGTGAAGTCTGGGCTTTTAGTGTACCCATCACCCAAGTAGTGAACATTGTATCCAATAGGTAATTTTTCAATCCTCACTCCTCTCCTACTCTTCCTGCTTTTGGAGTCCCTGGTGTCTATTATTCCCCTCTCTATGTCCATGTGTACCTGATATGATTTGGCTCTGTGTTCCCACGCAAATCTCATGTTGAATTGTAATCCCCATTGTTGGGGGAGGGACCTGATGGGAGGTGATTGCATCATGAGGTTGGATTTCCCCTCTGCTGTCCTCATGATGGTGAGTTCTTACGAGATCTGGTTGTTTGAACATGTGTAGCACTTACCCCTTCACTCTCTCTCTCCTACCAGCCATGTGAAGACCTTGCCTGATTTCCCTTTGCCCTCCAGCATGATTGTAAGTTTCCTGAGGCCTCCTCAGAAGAAGCTGATACAGCCTGCAAAACTGTGAGGTGATTGAACCTCTTTTCTTTATAAGTTACCCAGTCTCAGGTATGTCTTTATAGCAGTGTGAGAACAGACTAATACAGTATCCATTGCTTAGCTCCCACTTATAAGTGAGAAGTTGTGGTATTTGATTTTCTGTTTCTGAGTTACTTCACTTAGGATATAGGCCTTCAGCTGTACCCATATTGCTGCAAAACACATAATTTCATTTTTTATGGCTGCATAGTATTCCATGGTGTATATATACCACATTTTCTTTATTTAATCATCCATTGATTAACACTTAGGTTGATTCCATGACTTTACTTGTGAATAGTGCTGTGATAAACATTTGAGTGCAAGTATCTTTTTGATCTAATGATTTTTTTTAATAGATACCTACAAGTGGAATTGCTGGATTGAATTGTAATTCTATTTTTAGTTCTATGAGAAATATCCTTACTATTTTCCACAGAGGTTGTACTAATGTACATTTTTGACAATAGTGTAAAAGTATTCCCTTTTCCCCACATCCTTTCCAATATCTATTGGGGTTTTTTTTTTAACTTTTTAATAATAGAAATTTCCGGCACATCTTTAAAAATTCTTTCTCTTCTTCCAAATTCTGTATCTAGGTATATGTGGCAAGCAGAGGCCAGATTATATACACTACCTTAAAGATTATGGTCTTTATCCTCAGTGCAACAAAATAAAGTCATTGAAGAGTTTTAAGTAGAGGACTGACATGATGACATGGTGAGATATTTTGAAAAATTCACCCTGGTTTGCTCTATGAAGAATGGATAGCCAAGAATGAGTCTTAGTTGTTGTTGTCATTTCCTTTATGAATGGAGTGAGTCTTGAAGGACAGCAACATTTAATGGCAGGATAGAAGTATATATTCCTGGAAAGGACACAGAGAAATGGCCAGAGAAAGGAAGGGCTTAACTCACGGAAGCAAAGGGAACTTAATGTTTCCACTGGAAAGTCAAGGATGATGAAGCCTGAAATATGTTCTTTGAATTTAGGCACAAGAAGGTCATTAGTGAGTGCTGATTGTATGGAGTAGTGGTGGTGGGGAGATGTATTGAGACAGCTGGGAGAGTGAGTTGGAGGGGAGGAAGTGCAGGCAAAGGGCAGAAAGAGCTCTTTTGCAAAGTTTGCATCAGAAGAGAATTAGTTATGGGTTAATGTGGTGTTAAGGCAGATTTCTTCCTTTCTCCTTCTATTCCTCCCTCCCTTACCTTATTATAATGTCAGAGGCTTGAGTAAGGTTAAAATGACTGTGAGGATAATCTATTAAATAACTGAGAGGAAGAGGCTGAGTATAAAAGAAAGAAAATGATTGTCTTACAGAGGAGAGGGGATGCTGCTCTCTAGTATCCTGTAGATGACAAATCAGGGCACGTGTGAAGGTTTGTAAGTTAAATGGTAGAAGATGGAGTCTTCCAGTCAGGGGGCATTATGGGTTGGTTCATGTCCCCTCAAAATATATGTGGCAGTCCTAACCTCTGGCACCTGGATGTGACTGTGTTTGGAGGAGTATCTTTGCAGATGTAATCAAGCTAAGATGAGGTCACACTGAATTAGGGTGGGTCCTAATCCAATATAACTGGTGTCCTTATGAGAGAGGAGAAGAGAGACATACACACACAGAGGGAAGACATACACACACAGAAAGACAGGGCCATAAGACAGCAGAGGCAGAGATCAGAGTGATGCATCTATAAGCCAAGGAATGCCAAAGATTGCTGGCAGCACCAGAGGCTAGGAGCAGGCATGCAACACATCATTCCCAAGAACCTTCAGAGAGAGCACTGCCCTTTCATCACCTTGGTTTAGGGCTTCTAGCCTCCAGAACTGTGAAAAGATAAAGTTCTGTCATTTTGTGCCACCCAATTTGTATTAATTTGGTTTGGCAACCCTAGGAAACTAAGACAGCTGGATTCTATTTTTTGGGTGTGTGAGATGGGAGACAAGATCATCTGCTAAATATGAGAGGGCAGGTAGGGGATGGAGGTTTGAAAACAGCACAGAAAAGATCATGCTGGTGTGGTGAAAGGAAGACAGGGATGACCAGGGTAATAAATGTAAAGAGCTTGTCTGGCATGTTCAGGGCACTGGTCAGCAGGATTTCTAAAATGGTCCCCAAAAGACATTCTACCCTAATCCTCAGAACCTGAGAATGTGCTGAGATATCAATCCTTTAATGATCTGATATTATATGGCACAGTTGATGTTAAGATGGGGAGATTATCTGGGTGGGAAAGATCTAATTGCACGAGCCGAAAAGCAGAGAGCTTTCTCTAGCTGATGGCAAAAGAGGAAGTTAGGAGATCTCTTGAGAAGAACTCTATGGGGCATTGCTGATTTGCAGATGGAGAGGCAGCCTCTAGAAGCAGAGAGTGGCCCCTGGCTGACTGCTGGCAAGGGTATCCCAATCCTACAACCACAAGGAACTAAATTCTGCCAGCAACTTGGATAAGCTTGGAAGAAGATTTTTCCACAGATCCTTCAGGACCCCTGGCAAGGATGTTGCACTAGTGGAATCTAGTATTGAACAGAAAAATAAAGTGGAATGTGAGTCCTTAGAGAATTTCTAAAATTCTTTTTATTCTCTGGCATTTCTGGTGGCCATAGGTGTCCATTCCAATACTGGCTCACCCTTGCAGCTTTAACGTAGTGACCATTTATGCGCTCTCTGCGCTAGGATGAAGATATAGCATGAGTCAAAGTATGGAATGGAGTATTAATACTTGACTACCCTTGACACGTTGGGTTTAATTGTGTTCTTCTACCCTCAGGACAGTACATATGTAGTCAGGAAGGTTCTCCAGTTAGGTTCACCTTTCTGAAGAATTTGAGAATCCATCATTACATTGGAAAATGGAACAAAAAGTAGACCTAAAAGGACCTTGCCCACAAAAGACACCAGAATGGTGGTCACCTGGCAGGGGGAGGCTGGAATATGTGGGAGGTGAGGTGGGGGCTGAGAAGGAATAAGAAAGACAGAGCTTCTGGGTACACATCAGCCTATGTAATGTAGACAGGAAAGAACTGGTTTTTTTACCTGCTGAACTCTGTGCTTATGATAGGAGGATTCTGGTAAGACTGTTCTTTTTGGTAATGTTCCATATGTGTATACTCTTGCAGACATTGAGAGGCATAATGGCAGGGTTATAACAATTTAACATTTCTGACTTTTCTTCATGCATATTATTTATTTAACAAATATTTAATGAATATTATCAAATGCAAATCATTAGATCATCCATTAAAAATGCTTTTAATGCCCTATATCACTTGGTTCTTGTTCTAGCTTCCTAATCAGATGAGGCATCTTGTTAGAGTTTTGGCATCCTCTAGGGTTAGGGATCCTGGCCATTTCTCAGGAGTTAGCTTTCAGCTCTGATATACCAAGCTCTGCCCTGTATCAGGCTGTCCCACTGCTGTCTCTCTGGAAGATAGCAGGAGCATCTTTACCGCTACCATCTGATACCCAATTGATACACTCTTGCCATTTCCTGGATCCCCGAATGCATATTCAGGTCTTTTCATGCTAAACATTGAGAAATAATATATGTGTGGAGTGATAGATAAATAGGATGATAGGCAGATAGGTAGATAAAGTTTTATTTACTTGGGGCCGGGCACGGTGGCTCATGCCTGTAATTCCAGCACTTTGGGAGGCCGAGGCAGGTGGATCACTTGAGGTCAGGAGTGAGACCAGCCTGGCCTACATGGTGAAACCCTGTCTCTACTAAAAATACGAAAACTAGCCAGGCATGGTTGCGTATGCCTGTAATCCCAACTACTTGGGAGGCTGAGGCGGGAGAATCACTTGAACCCAGGAGGCGGAGGTTGCAGTGAGCAGAGATCACACCATTGCACTTCAGCCTGGGTGACAGGACGAGACTCTGCCTCAAAAAAAAAAAAAAAAAAAAAAAAAGGTTATTTGCTGGTATCCAAATCCTCTCTGCGTGCAAACCTTTACAACAAAATAGGTGTAAAGGGCTCTTTCCTTGCTCTCTTCTCTCTGGGGCCTGGCATATACCTCCCTCTTCAGGAGCTGTAAATTCATTAAATGGCATAGAGCACCAGTGGGGAAACCTCTGACTTCTTCATTTGAAAGATACAACTCAGTCTTAGAGTATGAGAGTGTGTTTTGAACATTCAATTGGATGCTGCGTGTTTGTGTGAGCTGCTAACAGTAATGCTGTCTCATAATGCATGGTATCACCCTTCACTCTCCTTTTAATGGCATCACACACATGAAAGGTAAGCATAAGCATCTGTAAGAACCTGTGTAGGTGGTAGGAATAGACAGTGAAATGCTACAAAGATGCGGTGACGTTGTTAATTGTCTTTTACTCTGTCGTAGTCGATATAATTAATTATACTGTGAAGTTGTAAAAATAAGGATGGCGTGTTCACATAACCGAGAATTAAGGAAGTGAGAGGAAACCTAAAAGGAAATAAGGCAGTGGTTGCACAAAAAATCTGTGTTCTGATCTTTAATGGACTAAAGGGAATTTGGTAACTTTAAGCAAATGCCTTCTGTGGGGAAAAGACAGCACAGTTTATTCAAGGTTATCATGTCTGGCTCATATATTAATTTGGGGGGTATATATGAATAGGATGCACCGAAACAATAGACATAATTTATCATTCAAAAAGCCTTTCACAAAATTTCCTGTCAACCTTACAGTGGGAAAAGATGAGGTGGGTAGACAATTTAAAAGGTGTGAAAAGTCTTAGAGGCATAAAACGAAAAGTCTCTGGGAATAGAATTGTGATCAATAGAGGCCTCCAAAAGGAAAGGTAGAACTGGATGAGTTTAACAACTTATAAATACTGGAAAGTCAAAATAGGTAGCGACATACTTGAAGATATTGCTTGTTGCTAAGCTATTTTGGGAATTTTAATGACTATGGAATAAAGGGGTAACTACATGAATAGACAAAAAGGCATATTAATTTCAGTGATTGAAAATATATGAAAAATTAATCCAAATTAGATTTATCTATGTATTATCAGTTATGAACCAGGTGAAAGACCTGAAAATCAGTTAAGGTATAATCTTAGTGTAGATAGCCTAGAAATTCAAGATTTTAAACATAATGTTTATACAAAATAAAAGCTATTATCTACCCTAGGTCAAAGTCATGTGCTCTGATAGCAAAATTCCATGCACAGTTTTAATATACTCCATAATAAAATAATAAGAAAACTGGCAATATGTTTCAAAAGAGGTAATTTAAATGATCCTAAAAATGGGTGGGCTGAACGTTTGCAAGAGATCAGGAATACAGGTTTGAAAGATGACCAGGGAATGTGATTTATTACTTTTTTCGCAACTTTTTTATTTTGAAAAATTGCCAACCCTCAAAGAAGTTGAAATGAGCATCTATATGTCCTTCACCTAGAATTCATCAATGAGCATTTTTTACATTCATAATCTGTTTTTTCAAATTATTTGAAAATATGTTGCGGAGGTCACATTGTTTTATTCCTGATACTTTAACATCTGTTTCCAAAGAAAAAGAACATTCTGTTATATAACCACAATATTATCACAATATTACTGACACATTAGTGTTATCTAATAAAAGGTCCACATTTTCAAATTTCCAAAATTTTCAACAATATTTTAGTCATTCTTTAAAAAACTAGAAGCCAATCAGTAATTATTTGTGCATTAAGTTGTCATGTCTCTTTAATCTTTCATCTTAAACATACTACCAGTCCTTTTATTT